CCCCAAAACCCCAAAACCCCGATTACGCAATGTATAGTTCAGGAGTGATTGATTGAAATAATAATAAATAATTAAAATGTAGGCAGTGAGAAAAATTGTTAGAACTCCCATGAGTGTTTTCGACTAGTACAGAAGTCTCTGTTTCACCTCTCCAAGACTGATGAACTTCTATATGCTTTATGCAAGCTTTTTCTTCGCTCTGTTTTTGGGTAAGGGCTACGAAAAGATTGTGTTCCAGGGAAAGCATGTTGAGCACGAGAGAGATAGAAGATTTAGAAGATTTTTCATTCCATATTCACTTGTGTCCTACAAATGGAGATTCCCTGTCAACCAGTGATGGCCTCAACAAATCTCATAGTTGACTAAACTATTGAAAGGATTCAATATTTAAATAAGAGATTAAAGTTAACTGAAAAAGTAATTTAAACTGACTATTAAAATATCATTAATCATCTTATGTCTCAGGATTATGTCTTCTTTTGAGAGGTGATTCATTTAGCACTTCTCTGGCTTAAATCTTTCATACCTCAGTCATCAGATAAATTATCTGCTCCTTCCAAATCTCTTTAGTTCCCAAGTAGAGGTTTTTAAAGGTCTGTATTCTTTGTTTGCAAAGTCTGAGACTTGATTGAGGGTACCACTCGAGAATTGGACTCATCTCGGTTCTTGCTCTTATTGATTTTTATCTAAGTTGTACCATCTTTTTAATTGATCACCTAAGCTGTTTTTGCTTTCCCTTCCTCCTTATCTGGAGTTTCACTCCTCTCTCTCCCTCTGTTATTTTTCTATGGATTAGCTTTTTTGGATGTAAGATATTTGCTATTTTTGTTAGTTTCCTCAATCATCTCAAAGTAAAACTGCTCGAATATGATATCAACTGTAAAAGACCCAGCTGCTTCAATTTGCAATCCCAGATATCCCACCAGAGTCATCAAAATGAACTGAAGAATATCTTTAATATCTATTGGTAAAGCTAATTGAAAATATGATATTCTTACCTTCATGTCCTTTCTATCTGTTTTCAATAAGATAAAGACTTGTTATTAAGGATATGACAAAGCATATTGTGAATGACCCGCTAATTATAGTAATGAATTTCCTGATAGTTGAATCGTATCCATATATCATAATCTTCACTAGATCTTTCTCATATATAATCTGCCAGAGTTAATTTCCCGCGTAGGCAAGCAAAATGATTGCAATAGGCACTGCTTTGATGAATGCAGGCATATTATACCCTTCCTCATCAAATTCATAGTGAAAGATTGCAGTTAAGCCTGTAATACTGACAATCACAACTAGCCACAGCAATGTATTTCTTGTCTTAATGCAAAGTAACTACAATTATTCTTTAAAAGTAAAATACAGTACTTTAACAACTAGTAAGCAGAAGAAAACAAACATTGGTGAGAAGCATCCAATTATTGAACTAGCATATTCATCTATATAAATCGATAATCTATCAGTCAATATCTTTATTAGTCGTCTTACCTTTTTCTTTTTAATGCTCGTGCTCATCCACATATTGATAAAGATAGATTGAAGTAAAAAGTAAGCAGGTAGTAAATGTAACACGCTGAATAAGTATTCCAACTGAATCTCTGTGCCAAGCTAAGCACCCCTTTTAAAATAAATCACTCATTAGCATGCACATTGAGAATAAGCACAAGAACAGTAGTAGTGATGAGAGGGTAATTAAGGGAATCACACTTTTAGTGTAAGATAGTATATCGTCTGTAAGCTATAATCAAATAAGTTAAACAGATATTTTGAAATATGTTTATCTAATCTATCAGCATTGTCGCCAAATGATTATTAAATGAATGAGCATCGTATGAAAATGAAATGGTAAATAAACTTACTTTTTCAAAAACAATAACTACGCTAATCATTAGTTGAACGTTTACTAGGAAGCCAACTACTACATTGGTCATAAACCCTCTCATTGGAGATAGGATCATTTCACGTTTTGCTTTGAAGAAGAACTATCGCAGCCTGCTGCTTGAATTGAGTTTTGCAGCGAGTTATGCCTATCTTCCGGTACTTCCATTTTAGCTCTCTATAGATGAATTAGTTCTCTGTAGCTAATGAGGAGTTCCCCTCAGAATTCTGCTTTGCCAACGCTGTTCTATAGGTGTTAAGATGTTTTAACCTCCAATTTTTGGTTTTATTTCTTTATGGGCATCAATAGGAGTGCCAAGAAGTCGTTCCTTAGATTAATCGCTAGTTTTTTTCATTCTAGTCAATAATAATAATTTAGCCCTTTCGATTTCATTTTATAAGTTTAAATTTTTCTTTAAAATTCTTTTTTTATAAGTCGGGGTTTTGGGGTTTTGGGGTTTTGGGG